TACCAGATCTTTAAAAGAATTGAAAAATTCTCTATTAAGTTAAGCGTGCCTTAGGATTTTGCCTCCAAAAGCAAAATGCCTTAGTAGTCTCTGCATAGATTTTCCTTAAAAAAAAAAAAAAGATACCAGGATCAAGATTTGAAGAGTTCAGGACATTTGGTTTCCAAATCTCTCTCATGATTAAGGATCCACTAACCTAACCTTCAAAAGATTGCAACCCTACGTTATTTTAAGTGACTACATGTGACAATGCCTTCAGTATACAAAAAAAAATCTACATACACCTTTTTTCCACTCCCTTTATCTTGCATGCTCTCTTCTCCTACATAGGGGAAGCATTCTCAATTTGAGAAAGAGTCCTGGCACCTACTTTATCTCTAGGCCATCTCTACACTAGGGAATTCTAAAGGTCCAAAGCGGAGAATTTGATGAAACAAACTTCAGCTCACAAAAGCTTGCGATTATAAGTAAATTGACTTTGGTTAGTCTGCAAAGTGCAAGTCTACCCTATTTTCTTTTCAATTAGTACCAAGACAAAAAGATCACTTCAGAAGTGAGCCACATTAGGAGTATGACCTAGTCCCCTCAGACATACAGACCCCACATGAAAAACCCTTTGGCTTCACTTTACCAACGCAGAGCTGGACAAAGTTAAAGAGGGTTTCTACTGCACAAGGTAGATGGAACTACCCACCACATAAAATGAAATTTTATTAAATACCCCAAGCATGATTGTGGAAAGATCTGAACTATAGCACACACTGTGGGGGAAAGATAACCTATTTATCATTTTTATGGTTGCAGTGAAGACCTGCACCAGGCTACTGACAACATTTTGCAACATATATCAAGTCAAAATTGTCACACTAGTATTATCCCTCAATGCAGTTGTTTATAGGTTATTCTGTCATTTGATTGCTGTGTTCCATATGAATAAATAAAATAACTTATCATTCAGCAAGAACCCAATGAGAATCCAGCCCTAGAGCTAAGGAACTCCACCTAAAAGGGCAGTAAGTTTCCTAATAATTTTGAGTTCAGAAACTGAAAAGGAATCCTCAGTTCAGCCTTCCATCTAGAAAAAAAGCCCCTGGTAAAAATGGACTAGTATCATACTTTCACCCCTCTGCTCTCTCCCCACACCCACCCCAGTCAAGCCTCACGCTCAAATTTTCAAGAAAAATTTCAAGTTTAGAAGTGATTTTGTTTTAACATCAGTTTTCAGCATGCAGTCACTTTAAGCACTATGTACCTTTATTTTTGCTTTCAGCTGTTTGCATAACTCACTTCAGAGACAGGGAGAGTGGCGCTCAAAGTAATTAATGCATTACATTTCCTAAACCATGTCTAAAGTTGTTATGCTGTACACTCAGGCAGCCACAGTTATCTACACCCATTATACAAGGCCAGAGGACAGCTGATCTGAGGAGTAAGAGGGCATGACTATCACATGTTCAGATTCTCAGTCACCCTCTTTGATAAAAAAGACACAGTTTGAGAACACATATAATATTAATTCTATTTATGAGGAAGCCTGTTACTGTATTCGTTTTTAAAGCAGTAGCTTTTTCTTTTCCATCTCAGCCTGTCTGTAGCAGTTAAGCAAGCCAGATTTATCACTTAAATTCTGTACTTTTTGCAGGCTACCTTCCCAAAATGATGATGTAACCAAGATTGTGTAGTCAACCTATACAGACCAGCTGATGCATGAAGATCTGCAGGAGCCTGTAACAGGCTAGATGTGCTATGGAAACTGCTATGTGCTGAAAGTGACTTCAGTAGAATGGACACCAAGAATAGGAACAGGCTTATTTTTCCATTTCATAAAAGCAGGCATCTTTGTGGGCAATATAGGCCAGAGATTAAGAGCCACCAATAGATATTATGGGAACCATAAGTAGGCAACTTTTGTCTTCTAGTATCTGTGAGACAGCAAAACAAAAAGGATTGTTTGTAGAAGCTGGTGTCAAGTGAAAAAGATCCCTATAAGCTTACTCTAGCCACAAGTTGCCCAACCCTGTACGTGGGCAGCACCTGTGTCGCATGCTGCAGATGAGGTAGGAGACATGCAGCACAAGAACAGATGGGGCAGGAAGCAGAAAGCAAGGCAGGAAATTGGATAGGGAGCCTGGGGAATGAAGCAGGAAGCAGACCAGGCAGGAGAAGAGGATTGGAGTGGCACTTAAGGAGGGTGTGGGGCTAATCTGTGGCAGATGCAGCCCCTCTGCTCTAGTGTAATGGGTTATGTACTAGTTTTTCCATCAAGGAGTTAACAGCAGTACTTACAATAATGTAGGAATTCATTAGAGACAAACTAAACAGTGGACACAATTTTAATCTTTGTCCTTCTAGCAACTGTAGAAGCTTCTTTGATGTTCTGCTATCATACCATAACCAAAGCCAAATCTTTGGTGCCAAAGACTGACATACAACTACAGAGAAGGCCAGTGACCAGCTAAAGGAAATTGCTAGTGAGACAGCCACCCAAACACAATAAAATTAAATGATCAGCATCCAGAGAGTGTGCCATTTTGCCACTACTCCAGAATATAACCCTTTCAACAAAAGTGTAAAGATCAGGTGTGATACCAACATAGTTACTGGAACCACCTATTTGTTTCACCATCAGTTTGACAATGTAGTCACTTTAGATCTTATCCCATTTCCTGGATTGGATTTAAGTCAGTAGGGTTTATTACTCTGTTGTTCTCTCCAACACCCTTGCTTCTCTCAGCACAGCCCTCTCCTCCCTTCCCATCCCTGCCCTCCTTCCCAGTCTTTTGATTTTAAATAAGTCAGTCTGATGTCAGGCAGAAGGCAAGATATATTTGCATTTTACAGACAAAGCCAGAGAGGCAAAGCATAAATTTTCATATACTCTTCCTTTCAAGAAGTTCTTCATTTCTCTCTATCCAGTCTATCTTGAACTCAGGATCAGCACATCCTACTGTTAGCCACTATAAGAGAAGTTATGCAATCTTAGGAAACACAAAGCAACTAACAGGTAGTTGCTTTTCAAAAGTCACCCGAGTGCATCACTGAATAGTTGCCTTGCTCATTTGTTTTCACTGTGTTAGCCTTTTGTCCTGCATCCTAGTTCTGTATTTTTTCCTACTGAATCAATCAGCTTTGGTACCTGAACTGAAGTTGCGAATGACAAGAAAATTCATTGTTATGCAAGAAGTTACCTCATTTTATATGGTTAAAATATTATCAGGAGTAAGACAGCAGCTACTTCTCCCAGGAAAGATGCCAACACTCAGAAGCTGCCCTTTGAAGGCAAGTATTAAAGACACAGCTTTCATGGGGTTAAGTACATATTAAAATGGTGAAATTTGAAGCTTAGTTCCTCAGCCCTAGGAAGACTCGATAGAAGAAGTGTTGGGAGGAGGATGGAAAACAGAGGTCTGGCTGAACCCCAAGGCCTATGTACAAACTAAATGATAAAGGTATTACTGGATTAGAGTGCCATACAAAATGGATTAGAGATGAGTAAGCAGAGCAAACAACGCGTAGTATCACATTTGTAAGGCTACTTAATACAGCAGCAGAAGACAAGCTGACAGAGCAACACCCTTATAATTGGCCCAGTTCTCCAAACCAGATATGCCTCAACAGAAACATGATGTTTGCACTGTATGGCATTTCTTTCTTCTATACATAACTGCAGGATGTGAGCAAAGATTTCAGCTGCAGGTTTTGGAGGGGGGGGGGTTCCCCCCCCCCTTTTTTTCCCCAAGGTTAGTAAACTAGAAGTTAGATGCATGTAACAAGAAATGCATGAGGATTATTTACACTCTTCTGTATTGGTAAAGATTAAGAACATACCAAACCCCCCCCCCCACCAAACAAGCCACCTTAAGCACGAAGCAATGCTTATTGCATCACCAGAAGTTGCAGAAAGACCAATTTTGCCCTTCACATAAAGGTGGGCCCAGATAAGGTAGTGTGGGCATGCCTGATCCAAGCCAAGTGATCTTTGCTGGTAGCTTTTTCTGAGCGTTACTTCAAGTCAGCCTAAAACTAGCCAGGTGCAGAAGAGCCAGATTTACCCATTTTTGAACCAACAACTTTGCATGGGTTAAAGCAAAGCAACCCAGAAGCTTTACAGTTACTGCCATACTGAAAGGAGTTATTAACAGCATAAGCTACTTTGCCTTGTCCTCATGGGAAAGCTGGGGTGAGGAAGTCATTTCTTTTTGGAGCCCAGCAATTAGATCTAACCAAACCAAACCAAAACACGCAAAGACATGTTAAAACCTGAAGCAAATGGCCCACACCCGAGAAAGAAAGCGGCGTGACCTGCCGTTTTAGGTTTTCAAAAGAAAGAAGAAGTCGAGCGAGTGCTTTTCAGGGGTGGGGACTGCCCGCCCACCTGTGCGTGCTTCTCAGGGACTCCACCACCTCTCTAGGTTGCCTGCTCCAGCACTTCACTCCCCTCCTCCTGGGAAAGTTTCCCTTCCTAGCTAAAAAGCTTCCCTGGCTGCAACAGACCATTGCTCCTCATTCTGTCGCACCCCACAGCCCTCTACCCTTCAGACACCGGAGGAATGGGAGAGACAGGATCACCGCTAGTGTGGCCGTCCTAGAGGCCAGTCCAGTTGTCCCCTATGGATATGAAACCGGGCACCTTTATGTCCTCTGTTTTTCCTCTTTGAGGGAAAATGGATAAATCTCTTCACAAAGGACACTCCCGTTGGCTGCTACTCTGTCCTCTATTGATACGAAAACTGGTGCCTTGATGTCCTCTTGTTTCTCTTGAAAGAGATTTACCCGTTTTCTCTCAAAGAGAAGAAAACAGAGGACAGAGGCATGGGGTTTCGTATCAATGGAGTAGCAGCCAACTGGAGTGTCCCGTGGGACGGCCACCCTACCTGCGGCACAGCAGGGCGGCCGGCAGGACCGCTGGCCCAGCCTGCGGCTCCAGGGGCAGGAGGATGCGGAGCCCAGCAGGGGCCGGGCCCCGGGAGGCGCAGGGCAGCCCCGCCGCCGGCCCTTCCCTGCGATGTCCCAGAGCTGCAGCCGCACCAGGGTCTTGCTGTCCCAGTGCAGCACCTTGAGGGCGAAGTCCACGCCGATGGTAGCGCGGTAGTGCTGGGAGAAGAGCTGGTGCACGTAGCGCTTGATGATGCTGGTCTTGCCCACGCCCAGCTCCCCGATCACCAGCACCTTGAAGAGATGCTCGCGGCACTCAGCCGCCCCGCCGCCGCCGCCGCCCGCGCCCTCCCCGCCCGCCATCCTCCCGGCACAAACTTCCTAACTCCGCAACTTTGTGGCAACTTCGTCGCAGCCGCTCCGCTCCGCCCCGCCCCGGCAAGGGAAGGGAGGGCAGGGGAGGCGCAACCACCTGACTGCAGTCACAGGACGCGGAAACCCCCGAGCCTTATATAACCCCGCTCGGCCGCCGGGCGGGAGCAGCAGGAGGAGGAGCCGCAGCCTGGTGCTTCCTCCCCCGGCCCGAGTCCGGGGGCTCCTCAGCCGGCCGGCCGCCCCGAGCGCAGCCTGCTCCAGCGCTTCGCTCCCCTCCCTTCCCCTTCCTTTGGGAAAGTTGTTTCCTCTTCTCTAAAAACTTCCCTTGCTGCCACCGTTGCTCCTTGCTGTGTCTCCACCCTTCAGACACCTGAGGAATGGGGAGGCAGGTTGCAAAGAGGTTGGAGCTGGACAGGCCTCAGCATTAGCGATGCGTAGCGGGTGCACCCCCTGCGAAAAGGTGCCATCCACACTGCCAGCAGCACCTGCAGGCGCTTGCCGCTCACCACCGCCGACACCGCCTGTGGCATCTACAGGCAGTCCACAATAGCCTCTGGCGGCTAATGACACTCTCATTGGGGTCTGCTGGTGGTTGTGGGCTGCCGGTCAGCGCTTGCCATCCTCCCCTCCAGCCACCAACAGCGCTGTGGCCATCTGCGGAAGCTCCCCACTTGCTGCCACCACCGACAGCACTGCGGCTGGGCCCCCCCCAGCCACCAGGGGCATGCGGCGTTCATGAACTGGACTGTCCTCAGCGGGGGACAAGGCAGGACAGGGAGCAAGGAGCTCAAGTTGCAGCAAGGGGAGTTGGAGTGGGATATTAGGAAACA